TGTGTGAGTGAAACATCATGCTGTACACCAGAAATGGACACATTGTAAATTGACTATACTTCAATTAAAAAAAGAAAAAAACAAAAGGAAACAGCAGTGGCTTTAGGGTTGCTTGTGATCAGGAGGGAGGGCAGGCAGGCTCAGGTGAGCAGCTGCCCAGAGCTCCTTTGGCAAGCTGGTTATATGGGGTGTGAAAATGACTGGGCGGAATATTCATTGAGGAGGGAGAGGTTTGGGCTTGTTTTTCCTGGTTTTGTTGGCCCCTAGGCCCCCTTGTCATCTCAAGATGTGCAGTTTCTTGCCACGTGGCCGATGCCTTCCTTTTCATGTCTGTCCGTCTGCTCTGACAAAGGGACACATGGAATTTCGTGGGGTGATGGGAACATTCTGTGTGCTGATGGGGCTTTTCAGTTATGCAGATTTGAGCATTTATCAGAACCCATTAAATGGTCTCCTTAAGATGTGTGTATTTTATGTTGTGTGAGTTTGCCCTAAAAACAATGCACTGCACTCAGCATTCAGGAATGCTGGGGGCCCTGGCACTCTTGCGGGAGTCAGACTTCCCCCCGCAGGACCCAGGCTTCAATTCCTCTTCATCAGAGAAAGATGGGGGAGAGAGGCTTAGGGAGGCGGGCTGGGCTTCTCCGTCCAGCCACCCGCTCCCTTCTTGCCCACTCCTCCCACCACCAAGTGCTGCGCTTTTTTCCCTTTTGTCAGAGAAAGCAGTTCCTGGAGCTTAATGCCAGGAGCTCGAGCTCGTTAAAGGAAAAGCACCTGGAAATCTGATAAATACCATTTTCAAAATTGAAGCTAGACACCAAAGAGGGTGTGACCTGCCGCGGAGAGCAAGGCAGGAGGCCGAGTCGTTCCCGCTCCGGTCTGGATGCTGGGCTACCCCTCCTGGCGGGTGCCCTGGCCACTCGTTCCCAAGCCTGTCGCGGACCTGATGGTGCCCTGGCTCCTCCATCCCAGACTGGGGGGCGGTACCCAAACTGGGGGGCGGGGCCCAGAGTGGGGGCGGGGCCTAGACTGGCGTAGGGGCGGCTGGAGGGTGGTGCACTGGATGGGCGGGCGGGGTCGGGTGGGGGGCGGTGCACAGGCTCCTAGGTCCCAGACTCCGGGGCGGTGCGCAGCCTGGGCTAGATGCCCAGGCTAGGGGATTGGGTTGGGTGGAGACGGGGTGGAGATGGGCTGCGGAGGGGTGCGAGCCTGGGCTGCGGCCGGTCACGGGACGAGGTGGGGGGCGCGCAGAGGGGGCCGGCGGGGAGTTGGGGGTCCTGGCCACAGGGCTTGTGTTTACCCTCCCCTGTCCCTGTCCCTCTGCGGGTGCGCGGACCCCTGTCTGGCCCGGCGGACCGGAACAGGTCGCCCCTTCCGAGCCGAGGACGCCCACCAAAGCATCTCTTCCCGGCCCCAGGGGGAGGCCTCCTCCCATTCCTCCTCTGGCCCTCCCTCCCTCCCTCCGTCTTAAGGCACTCATGGACCAGGGCTGCCCACTCGGTGGACAGCAGACCCCTCAGGATCAAAGGGAAATCCCAGTATCTCAGTCCCCCGCAAAGGGCTGCCCCTGGACACAGACATCCACAGACGTTTGTAATAAAAAGTTGACTGCTTTAAAACTGTGATAAAGTCCGGCCCCAGCCCCATCCTCCATCTGAGACAGATGACTGTGTGTCTTGTTGGGCACTGAGCTTTTTCTTCCTGCATTTCCTCCTCTTGGACCATCATCCGCTGGATCCTACCCATCTGCCACGTCAAAGTCTCTCTTCCATGGAGTCCCCTGGTCCCTGAGGATCCTCCTCAGCACCTGACCCAGCCTCCTGTCTCAGCTCCACATGTTGTCGGCTCACCAGTGCTGAGGCTCCTTGTCCTCTGGCCCAGCCTCCACCTGACACTAGGGGTTCTTAACAAACACTGGGAGTGGAATGAACATGGACCAAGCTTCTGGCTTATCTCCGATGCCCAGGTGCCTGGAAACTGCAGGAGGTCGGCATGGCCTGTGGTGTTTCCATTCCTCCTTGACCAGGGACCTCAGCCACAGCTGCACGCGGGCCTTGTGGGCTGCCTTCAAATCTGCACCCTGGCCCCAGCCTGTTTCCATCTAGAGGCTGTCTGGTGATCTTTTAGGCTTTGGGGCAGGGGAGAGAAAGGATTGGAGGTGGGAAGGTGACAGACATGGATGAGGGCAGAGGAGAGTACACAGTACCTACATTTGGGAAAAGCAGGCAGATGGAGAGACAGAGGCAGGCAGAGAGAAGGAGGATGTGGGTCACGCTGCGCAGGCTGCCTTTCCAGAACAGAGGAGCACTGAGAAGGGAGCAAAGAAGGAGGCTCGCTTTTCTCATGTCTGCTGGAGGAACCTCTAGTCCTGCCCTATGGGGTGGGGTGCAGGACCAGCCCTGGCCAAAGGACCCAAGGTGCTGCCCCTCAGGCCCCTCCAGGCCCCTGGCTGGCCCAGCAGGCTATTGGCCAACGGGACCCTCGAGGGCACCGGGTCCTGTGCGAACACACGTTTGCCACCTGGGGCCCTGTCCTCTAGGTTTGTGGGGAAGGACAGATAATGGATTTGCTGCCCCTAAGTAGCCATGCTGAGGCTTCTGCACCACAAAGGCATCAACTCCTGGCTCTGCTATTGCCTGCACTGGGAGACTGAGGGTTTCCTAAAGCTGAGTTAATCTCTTTCCGGGAAGCAGAGAGCAAACCTGAGACCTTGTAGAGCCTCAGCAGCAACATCTGTCAAACGGGAATGGCCATGCTTCTCTCGGGAGTTACTGTGGGAATCAGAGGACTGAAGAGACCAAGGGAGCTCAGGACTTCTCAGAGAGAACAGACGCTTGTTGGCCTCAGTGGGAGACCCTGGCGAGGACGGGCACCGCCCTGAGAGCGTCCAGGAGGGAAGGGGCTGGGTCAGATTCTGGAGGGTCCGTGGATGCAGCGGGTGACTGATGGCCTTTTCTCTCCTCTCCTCAACACTTCAGATTCATTCCTGCCTGAGGACTTCGGCCTTTTGCCTGGAGTGCCCCCGCCCCCCGCCAGCCGCCCCTCCCCAGACACCGCCCCCACAGCCCCCCTCCTCCCCGGGCTTTGCGCTGTTGGCTCCCTCCTATTGTTTCCGGCTCAGCTCACTTGCCTGCGTCTGCGGGTCGCGTCATCTTACTCTAATCCCCTGGCTAGCTGCACGAGAGAGAGATCTGGGGTCCTGTCTATCCTTTTTGCCTACAAATCCCTGCTCCTATCGTGGTGACCGCGGCAGCTCCACAACTATTTGTTGAGAGAATAAAAGAAAGAAATAATAGGGTCTGAGCAGAGTAGCAGAGTGGGGGTGCAGAGGGGATGGACGACAGCACTATTAAAGTAGTAGAATCTTGACCGCCCGTCGGGGGAGCATAAGCAACTGAGGTTTCACACTTGCTTGTGTGATGGGTGAGTGGAAGGAACAGTCACTGAGCCGAGTCAAGGACAGAGAAGGGAGCCTCACTCAGCCCACTCCGCTCTCCAGCACATTTTGGTTACAGCTGCCCTGCTGCGCCCAGGTGCCCAGCCCCAAGGTGGTTGATGTCCAAGTTGCACTGGGGCTGAATCACTAAGGGAGTGTAGAGGGTTGCTTGAATCTGATAAATAGTCTCCCTCTGGGCCCAGTGACTGCTGTGTCACCGCAGGAGCTCTCTCACTTTTAGCTCGTTTGGTTTTATAAATGAACGCAAAGTAACTGGACCTCTGTGAAAATCTAGGAGCATTTTCTTCCTGTTGACAGTAATTGAAGGGTTGAAAGGGCTGCTGGTGCTGGAGTGATAACATCTGAAAAGCACAGCAGTTAGAAGGCAAGTGGGGGTGGGGGCTGGCACCGGAACCCCTCCCGGTTCATAACGCCACTTGGAACATCTGCAGGCATCTGGGGGGAAGGTGGGATGAGGGGCTTGTTCTTGCAAGCTGGTGGCAGGCAAAGAAAGCTGAGCCTGGCCCACTGAATCAGCATGCATCCTCCGGGCTGGCTGCTGAGTCAGGCCTGCAGAGCTGGCGATGCGGCAGGGTGAGGCCCAGCAGCGCTCTCTGACCTGGAAGGACTGCCCTTCAGGCTGGGGCTGGAGGTCGTGGCACTGCAGCCAGGGGCCTGCACTGGTGATGGCTGCCGGTGGTGGGGTGCGACAGCGGGGGTGGCATCTCTGCTCTTGGCAGGCAGAAGGGGTTACGCATCCCCATCCCTCCCATGAGTCTGGGGCGCAGCTCCTGTGAGGTCTTTGTGGCTGGGGGGAGGGCTCGGAAGGTCCCCTTAGCTCTGATTCTTGGCGAGCCAATGTCCAGGAGCGAGGACGTTCGCGGACCAAGGCCTGGACCAAAGCCTGCAGATTCCTCCTGGAGAAAGGAGAGGCCTCCCGGCTTAGCCTAGTCCCTCCGGATCCTTTCCTTTGGAGGGGCTGGTGAAAGCCCCCTCGCGGTTTCTGGAAAGATCTAAACGAGCACATAAAACACGTGAAGACAGGGTTTGCACACTGTAGACATTAT